GACTGATGCCAATCGTGCCTTTCATTCATTAGACCAACCGAGCATTTCTTCTCCTCCTCCTATTTTCGTCACTCCTTTGTCTGTTTGGAGCCCCTCTCCTTCTCGTCGCACTAAACAATCTGCTCGTCCATCTTCTTCCTTCCCTGCCAAGCCTACTACAGCCAAGAGTGCTCCAAGTCGCAAACGGTCAGCCTCAACATCTCCCATTCTGGAGGATGATGTCGATGATGATGATGATGCCCCTCTTATTGTCAGGAGGAAGGTAATTAAATTGGTTTACTTACAAGTATACTTTTCCACACCTGAAACTTTTCTGTTTGCTGATGATCTTTTGGATTTCTCAGAAAAGTTCAGCCTCTCCTTTAAAGGCTTTGACATCGACAATTCCTGCTCCATCATCTTCTGCTGAGGCTACTTCATCCAAACCGGTTGATGAGGGGACTACGCTTAAAGAGACATCTTCAGTCCCAGAATCCTCATCACAACCCATGGATGAGCCACCTTCTTCCCAGGGCGTCAACCCCCCAAACATCGAAGCAGAAGGTAATTCAGTTTTTTGATGTCTTACCTTTGCTCGTGCTATTGGTTTCTGATTTGTTGCTCTTGAGCTTTGCAGATACTCCTATGAGTCCGCCCATTGTGGCAACATCTTCTCGCTCGGACAAGGGAAAGTCCTCACGAATGGATGAGTCGTTGGTGGCAAGCTTGGCTGAGGGCCCGCCATCTTCTACGATTGTCGACGAGGTAGTCTTTGATTCATTTCTATTTCCACCTTGTTCGTTGTAGTGAGGATTTTTAATATTGGCAATCTTCTTTGCAGGATGCTGACAGGATTGTGCATTCTATCCAAGACTTGTTCGCTTCCTGGGGGCAAGTCCAGATGTCTCGCCCTGCTCCATCTGATTGTCCTGCTGCTTCTTCAGAAGAAGAATTAAAGTTCCTGAAGGAGTCGGTATTTGAGTACGTATCCTTCATGGATATGGATATTGGAAGGGCTAGTGATGTTAGACACAAGGATGAACTTGAGCACTTGAGTGCGAAGTTGGAGCAAGCACTGACGCTTCCGTCGCTCAATCTTTCTGCCGGCTTTAAAGCGATGTTGAAAGTCATCCACTCCGAGGTCCTTTCTATACTGGCCAAGAATGCTGAACTAAAGGCCAAGCGTACTCAATATCTTCGAGCCGTAGCTGAGAAAGAGTCTTTGCGTATGGAGATTAACAAGGCTGAGGACGAGTTGAAAGAAATCTCTTCCGAAGTCATGATTGAAGACTCTTTGATGGTTAACTTGGCTGCTCAAATGAGGGAACTTCAAGCCAAAATGGACGACTGCAGGGCGAGGATGGCTGCTAAAAAGCGCAACGCCTCTTAGGGAATTGAGCGAACTAAGTCCTTGGTCGAGCAGTACAAGAAGTTGGAAGTTGATGATGATGACGTCGCGGCTGAATTGAACATCACTTCCTCTCGACAGAACGAGGATTGGGAAAAACTTAAGGAACGAATTCGTTCCATATGGGGTGGACTGTAATTAAGACATGTGATGTCTTTTTTTTCTTTTGTAATTCGATTTTTTCCTTTGTAACTTTGTTCATCATTAATGAACATTAACTTCTTGTGCATTTATTTGACGTTTATTTTTTAGTCATCAATTCTTTAAGCACTTAACTGCTTTGCACTAAGAATCTTGTCCATTTCCTTTTGATATTTCCACCACTTTTCCCAAGACTTTGGGCTATTTAATTCCGTTTATTAGACAAAAATGTGGTTGTTCATATTCTGTCTCTTCATCTTCACCCCCTATAAATGCTTCATATTTTTCATCTTCTATCTTCATCTCTTCATTTTCTTCTTCGAAACCAATTTGCTACCATTTCTTGGCATTCTGACGATCAATCTGATCCAAAAATGTACTGTTTAGTCCGCCCACCTTACTATTTACCTTGATGTCACCTTTGGTATGGGAGGTATAGGAAATATTTTCCGGCCAGCAGCGAAGTTCTTTCTTGAAAAATTCTTCCCATCGTTTCTTTGTTCTTCACAAGGAGTCAATGATGGAAGGCAATTTTTGGGCTGCTTGTGGGCCACTTTGCTTGCTGAGAGTGCTTCTCAGCTTGCCTGCTGAGAGTGCTTCTCAGCCTCTTTGCTCGCCATTGCAGCGATGCATTTAGGAAGGTGGTGAGGCCAGTACACCCTCTTACTCGGCAATCCCACCATTGCAGCGATGCATTTAGGAAGACGGTGTGAAGCTTACTCAGCGATCAACCGGGAGATCATCTTACTTTAGTTGTATTTTGTAGCACGTCCATTATTTGTATCTTTTGTATTCTTGTAATGATCGTCCAAAATGTTTGGTTATGTTTTTATCTGTTCACATTCCCATAAAGAAGGAACATATTTTTTCAAATATTTGCCGTTAATGAATCTTACGTGCTTGGTGCCGTCTAAATCTTCCAAGTGGTACGCCCCATTAGGTAACACACTGTTGATTTTGTATGGTCCTTCCCAATTAGGCGACCACTTCCCATACTTTGGATCTTTGCTATCCAAAGGGAGTATTGTCTTCCAAACTAGTTCACCCAGGCTGAACGACTTGGCTATAACTTTTTTGTTATAAAACTTAGCCATTCTTTGCTTTTGAACTTGCAACCTATCTAAGACGTCCAACTTCAATTCGTCTAAACTCAACAAATTTTGAACTAGTGATTCGGCATACTCATCATCATTCAACTTATGTTGCAAGCACACTCGAATAGATTGCACGTTGATTTCCATAGGCAAAACGGCCTCCTGTCCATAAACAAGTTGGAAAGGAGTAACTTTGGTACTTGACCGAGGCGATGTTCTATAAGCCCGTAAGGCCTTGTTTAAAAATTCGTGCCAATTTCTGGCGTTTTCATCTATCATCTTTCTGATGATATTTTTTAGAATCTTATTAGAAGATTCCGCTTGTCCATTGGATTGAGCGTAGTATGGTGTGGAGTTTACAAATTTAATTCCAAA